GTATGAGTGCATGTGTGCAAATGTAAGAAGAGTGCATGTGTGCAAATGTAAGAAAAGTGCATGTGTGCCAATTGAGAAAATAAAAGTGCTTGTGTGCAATGTGGATGAAAATATGATAGTAGATACATATAAGTGCAATTGGGTGCAATTTGTGAGTTAGAAAATAAATAAGTGATAGAAGAAAAATGTGCAATCATGGCATGTGGATTGAGAAAAATATAAGTAGTGAGAAAACGTGGATAAAGAAAGTGAGGAAATGATATGATGAAAATGAAAGTGTATGAGCCTAGAGGAATGCATCAAGTTGGGTACGGGAATGACTCCTAATGTCATGACTTTAATTTTCCCTTTGATTAGAAGGAAGAACTAGAGTGCTAAGGCTATTTTGTAGCCACACTCGCTCGTTTCCCTTATCGAAAGGGGGACTCTCAAGCAAATGTACCCTACAACTAGCATGAGGCTGTAAAAACCTAAAATGAGGGGAAAAGGGTTGGAGGGGCATGCCAAATGATAGAAAACTAAGAAAAATGCATGAAATGTAGTGAAACATGCAAGTATGTACTAAAGAGAGGGAATGGCCTATTGGGTCTAGCGTTGGACTAGCCCTTCTTATGAATTCCTACTAGCGTTGGACTAGTGAAATCGAACAATGAGCCACAACTAGCGTTGGACTAGTATGGTGACGCACATTCATCCATCACATTCATTCATGACTATAAAAAGCGAGTAGACATGCGAATCACCTATAAACACGTAGCACATAACACTTAACATGCTCGACTAGGTGCAAGAGACTAATAAAGCAAATTAACACATAGCAACAAAGGCAAACAACCAAGCTAATGAACCTATTACATTTGCTAACTAAAACAAAATGGAAATGGGAAAAATGAATAAAATTGCTCTCCAAGCCCTATCTATTGCAAGCCAAGAGGTGTACACATACCCCATTAAAAGAATAACTTAATAAAAGCAAGCGTAAATGAAATAAAGGAATTAAAGAAAGGCAAGGAAAGCAAATTAGACATGCAATTCTCACTTAGCACGTTGGATCACATAGGAGAGACAAAAAAGGATAAAAGAAATTATACCTCCCCCTTTTGTGGTGCTAATAAAGTGGACAAGACTTAATTTGGGCTATAGTCACCAAAGAAAGGGATAACTTGGGCTAAATCCATCAAAATAAAAGATTAATGCACCAATTTAGTGGTAAAACATATATAAACCAATTTGATTCCACCAAAACATCGAATTCTTGTTCAATTGCAATTTAAAAAAATGACCAAATAATGCATAATGACCAAGGAAAAGTGGAACAACTCATCAAATTCCCAAATATAGCAACTACTAGGAGCTCAAAACAACCCTTAAACGATCATTCAAGTCCAAATGAAACATTTTAGGAACTTTAAAGGTCCAAGAGCAAGAAAAGGTCAAGTAACCAATTTATTTAGGGAAATTAACGAAAATAGACAAACACAATCTCATTTAGACACAAAGTTCACAAATTCATGCATTAAGTATCACCTAAACAAAACATGGTAATTAACGAAAGCAAACAAGCAATCGAGTTGAAAAATTGAGGCTACCAAGGACTCAATTGCGAACATTAACCAAGCACTCAAGCTTAATTAAACATTTTTTAGGAACTTCAAGGGTCCTAAAATAATAAGAGGCCAAATAACAGTTCAAATTGCAATCAATTTAGGACTTAATTGCAAGAGATTGGAATGTAATTGGGCCTTTGTAGCATTACTAGAAACTAAAAGGGAGCAAAGTATAATTTTTTGGAATATTTTTCATGCAAGCCATGCAAATCACGAAGGAAAACATGCTTCTGCAACAACAAGAGGACTTCGGCAGCTAAGCTAGTTCATCCGCAAGCCTTATCCATAAATCTTTGGCAAACAAAACTTTAAACTAACTCTAATTAAAACATGTTTAAACAACACTTAATCAAAGTAGTTCCTAAAAGAATTTCATGCAAGCTTTATGTAACAAAGAGCTCCTGCAAAAGAGAAGCCTGCTGCATTTCCGTTTACAAACAGATTCCAGGCCTGCTGCATTTTCGTTTACAAACCAACTCATCTATCCAAACTCTGAACTTAAGCATCCAACAAATAATCTCCTCATCCAACATAACAAAACATTGAAGGAAGTTATGCAAATTCGTATGAAATTTTCATGCACATTCACGAATGAAACTGCTGCAACATTCATGCAGCTTCTTTTCTTTCTTATCTCAGCTGAGAGGTATTCATGCGAAGTAGCTTAAGACTGGTTATGTTCGACCCAAACACTCCCAAAGGATCCAACAAAGCTAGCCATGAAATGCAGCAAATTAGATGACCAAGACCCACTTCACGGGTTTATGGCAGGGAGAAAGGAAAGATACAACGAAACATGAGAAAAAACGCAACTTTCTTCCATTCCCTGGGTTTCTGCAAAATTTTCTTATTCATGCTACATACAAAATCTAAACACTCCAGCCCATGAAATCAATATCAACTAATGTAAAAGAGAGCAAGCAACAGAGAGCAAATCAATCCACCATGAACCAAACACTCAAACAAGCAGCCACGGAAACAAAACGCAGTGGCAAAGATTCCTTATATCCTGATCTACATCTCATGATACTTGACTGGAAAAGAAATGAAAATATTACCTTAATCACCCAATGAAGCGCAGAATGATCAAGGATAAGGGCTAACGGATTCACCAGATCTTTGGGGAAGCACCAGTGCAAAACAGCGCCGCTGACCCGGTCACTTGGAGCTCCGATCCTTCCTTCCCTTCCAGATTTTCTTTCTCTTCTCCAAAGCTCCGTCTTTTCCGAATACCTTAGCCGCTACTCCCCTCTCTCAGTCCCCAGATTTTTCCTTTCTCTCAGCTCTCTCAGATGAAATCCCGTAGCTTTCTGCTTTTCCTATGCCGTCCGCTCTTTCACTCACCACCCCTAGCCACCAGCCCTCTCTCAGTTGTGAGCCCTTCCTCCGGTCTCTGGTTCTTTCCTCCTTTTCTCCTTCAGTTTCTCTTTAACCCTCCAAACTCTTAGCAGTTGTTCGGTTTCTCTCCTCCTTTCAAACTCTCTCTTGATACCCCTAGCCGTCTGCTGCTCTCCTCGCTCCCTTTCTTTTGTTCCTTTATAAAACCTTCCCCCCCGTTCAATCCCCCCTGGCTGCGGTTTCTTTTTAGCCTTTTATATCAAGTGAGAAACCCTACAAACCCTCTTTTGGATGGCTAGAAACCAACCTCCTCAAACCCCTCTCCCTTGGCCATCCGATGGCCATTCTACGTGAAACAGTTTTTTTTTCTTTTTTTCGAAAGAGTTAAGTAATAAACAAAATATAAAGAAAAATAAACACTGAAATAAAAATAAATAAAAATGAGCAAAATTAGGCATAAAAAATTGCTAATTAATTTCCTTTTTCCGATTGATGATTTTCTCTTTTCTTTTTTTTTCCAATTGATAAACAATAACTTGAATTTGAAAAGGAATAAAATATATTTTTGTGAAGGATTTTTCTTTTTCTTTTCAATAAATTCCTACGCTAAAATTACTCAAAATAAAAATAAAATAAAATAAAATAAAATAATAACATAAAATACAATAAATAAAAAACTAAAGAAAATACAAGAAAACAATACAAAACTAACACTAAAAATTTGGTGTCTACAATTGGATCAAGCAAACTCTTCGGAAATAGGGTGAATCAAGTAACCCATTGTACACCTAGGGTCCCTGCTCCAATACTTAAATTTGTTCTATAATTAATTGTGATGATAATTAGGACTTTTTAGTAATTATTATTGCACAGGTTCAACACCTGTCACGAACTGCGTCTCGGGCGCTCTTCTTTGAGCAGCAATACCTTCTTTTATGGAAAACAAAAGTTAATGGAGAATTTTTATATTAACAAGTCAAAGTCAATTGTTCAGCAATCACGGCCCAAAAAATGCAAAGAAGGAGCTAGTGACAACCGCGTCAGCTATGACGGTGGAATAAGATCGAGTGTTTAACTACTAAACTGGTACAAGTTTGATGTAATTATAATTTTTGTGCAAATTTGATTGCATAAGTTATAAACTCAAGTTTTACATTAAAGTTGTGTCAATTTATACCCGATATTGTAAAAATTATACAATCAGTTTGTATTGAACAACAACTCAACTGACGAGACATCAAGCAGATATTGATCCTGCACTTAATCTGGTCGTTTGTTTACTATCAAATTCGATATTTGCAATTATTTGAGTGGGATTATATTATGTGTCATGAGTCATGACGTGGATCTCCGTTCTAGTGGAAAGATGCTTGATCCGGGATTGAACATTATTTGAAATTTTCTTTTGTAATTTTTTTACTGCTACAATTTTTGAGTAACTATACTGTAATGCATTTTTGTTTTGTGATTTACGTGAAATAAAAAATATTTTAAATAATAATTATGTTATTTTATTACATATATAGTCAAAATGTATAGCAAGCGATGAGGCTTCTTACACGGGTATTGGTTCAGGAGATGAACCTACCGAGGATGGGGGGTCAACTAGTCCCGCCACGGACTAGGCCTTCACCATTAGGCTAGGATAGTGGGTGATTTTGACCTTGTACATAGGAAGGTTAGGGGATGTGGTGACCTGGTGGTTGTATAGCTCCTTTTGACTACTCGTGTTAGGTTTTGCTTGATATGACTATATCTGTACTTTTGGGGGCTCGTACTTGCTATTTTGGTCTCGTTATCTTGTAAATGACTGCTATGAGTCTTTTAATGTATAATACTTTGACTGTTGATCTTGATCTTTGACTGTTGACTGTTGACTATTGACTTTTGACCTTTGACTTTATTCCGTCATTAATTTTAACTACAGTGCATTTCACTTGCTTATCGTGATTTCGATTTTCATTTCTTACTTGACTTTTCATATGAGCATCTATCATATATCATATTGCTTACCCGGTTAGTTATCGTACTTGGGCATTAGGCCACTGAGTAATAATGGAGATTAGACAAAGACGTACTCGGGGCCGTGGACGAGAACCCAGGCAAGTACAAGATCAAGAGGAGGAACAAGGTTCGGTGGCGAATCAAAACCAGGGACCCCGAGGTGATGGAGGGGACCAAGTAGCAACAACTATTAATCGAATGACTGATTTGTTGGCCCGCTTGGTTGACCAGCAGGGTCAAGTACCTGGTAACCAACAAAGGGACCCCGAAGTAGGCCAGGATAGGGCCCTGGAGCGGTTTCAAAAGTTTGCTCCTCCAAAATTTCTTGGAGGACCTGAACCTGAAGTTGCCGAGAATTGGTTCGAGCGAATGGAGGATATATTCGCCGCGTTGCATTACTCTGAAGAGAGGCAAGTTACTTTTGCCGTTTTCCAACTGGAATGCGCGACCCGTTCCTGGTGGAACGTAGTAAGGGCCAAGTGGGAAAGGGAGCAAACCCCACGTACCTGGTTAAACTTCACGAGGGAATTCAATGAGAAATTCCTTCCACCCTTAATTCAGGAGAAAAGGGAGGATGAGTTCATTAAACTGCGCCAAGGCACTTCAAGTGTGGCAGAGTATGAGACGCAGTTCACCCGACTTTCCAAGTTTGCTCCAGAATTGGTAGTAAGTGAACAAAAGCGCATAAGGCGGTTTATACAAGACTTGAATGTAGAAATTCAAAAGGATTTGGCTGCCGCTCAAATTGACACCTTTAAAGATGCGCTTGAAAAGGCTTAACGTGTGGAGCAGGCCCGATCTCAAGTTCGGACCTTTCAGGCTAAGAGGCGTGGTGCATCTAGTAGTACTCCTGGCTGAGGTGATCTGAATGTGCCACCTCCGAAGTTGGGAAGAGGTGCGGGTGGAGGCCGAATTACAGGGACACCGAGAGGAGGAGTTTTATCTAGAGGAGCTCAAAGTGGGAAGGGGACAGGGACAACAAAAGACTGGCTCCCAAGGAGTTCCCGCACCCACCACACGTGTAAGCTGTGGATATTGTGGTAAGCCAAATCATACCGAAGATAATTGCTGGAAAAAATGAAGAAGTGCCTTGTTTGTGGAAGTTCTGAACACCAGATTGCCACTTGCCCTGTTAAGAATCGTGACGGGAACGGGGGTACCCAGTCGGAAAAGTCAAACCCTAAGCAACCTACCACCAGTGCAAGTCGACCCAAAACCTCTGCTAGGGTTTTTGCTTTGGACCACCGGCGAGTTCCGGATTCCTCGGAAGTAGTGGAAGGTACGATCCCTATATTCCACCGCTTAGCTAAACTTTTGATTGACCCTGGGGCAACCCATTCTTTTGTGAATCCTGCCTTTATGTGTGGTATTGCTGTGAATCCTGTTAAGTTGCCGTATGATTTAGAAGTGAAAACACCTACTGGGGATCAAAGCCTAATTACCAATATGGTCTATAAAAATTGTGAGATTTGGGTAGGAGAACGGAAGTTAGTGGGTAGGAGAACGGAAGTTAGTGGGTCACTTGATAAGTTTAGACCTGAAGGGGTACGATGTAATTATAGGCATGGATTTGTTGGCCCGTTATAACGCCCAATTGAACTGTAAAACAAAGGTGGTAGAATTCTCGATACCCGGAGAGGCAACTTTATAGTTGGACGTGAGAGGTAGGTTAGCCTCGTTTGCACTTGTTTCGGGAATCCGAGCCAGAAAGTTGTTGAGTAAGGGGGCGCAAGGCTACTTAGCCTTCTTAATTAATACTCCTGGAGATAAAGTGAAACTGGAGGATGTTTTAGTAGTGAATGAATTTCCTGATGTCTTTCCCGATGAGTTGAAATCGATGCCATCAGAAAGGGAAATAGAATTTAAGATTGATTTAGTACCTGGAACTGCTCCCATTGCAAAAACGCCATACCGAATGGCCCCCGCCAAACTTAAAGAGTTGAAACTGCAGTTACAAGATCTGTTAGAGAGAGAGTTTATTCGAGAAAGTGAGTCACCGTGGGGGGCACCAGTGTTATTTGTTAAGAAAAAGAATGGTAGTTTAAGACTGTGCATTGACTATCGTGGCTTAAATGACGTTACGGTGAAAAATAAATATCCCTTACCACACATTGATGAATTGTTTGACCAACTACAAGGAGCAGTAGTTTTCTCTAAGTTGGACTTGAGGCAAGGCTACTACCAGTTACGAATTAGGCAAGAGGATATACCGAAGACTACCTTTAATTCCAGATATGGTCATTTTGAGTTCGCTGTGATGCCTTTTGGTTTAACGAATGCCCCTGCTGCATTTATGGATTTAATGCATCGAGTTTTTAAACCCTACTTGGATCATGACAGGTGCCGAACCTGTGCAATAATAAATACCTACTCGAGAAAAATACAGATTTTGTATATAGCGGTGAGTAGGGTCGAATCCACAGGGACTGGGGATAATTCGTTTCTTCTAGAGTCCAAAGTATGGGGGGGTTTGGATTAAATGCTAACTAAATAAATTAACTGCAGAAAATAATTAATTAAAAGAAATGATTGGGGAAACTCTAGCCAAGGGTACACATCAGAAATGGTTCATGCACTGATCATTGATGCAGAAGTAATTCCAACATTTAGCAGTAGATTAGTTATAGTTGTCATGCACGCGATAAACAACCAACCCTTCCTTAATTTCTCGATAACTAAGGTACGACCGTTAGCTATTTCTCTAACCCAAAAATAACCCCAGGTACGACCGTAGGATTTAATTTCTAGATTGCATTAATAATTAGAAAGGCCCAATCCTAACCAACAAACACGCTACGAGGGTTTGTTTAAATTAGATCATATTATCCCCTGACATAAACCCAATTACGCCAGTTGCTACTGAGGTAGAGATAACGAACAATTACGGATTCAATTACCCCTATTTAGCAAAAATAGCCTATATGAATAATTAATTATTGCGCACTAATCAATCATACACAAGGCCATAGCAATTAAAATCAAGGAACATATGAATACCAATAAATGAAGAAAATAATTAAAATAGATTCGATCTCACAGTAGTTGTCGAACCAAATCGTCAGTTGTCCCCTTGACTAGAAAAGCTTAACCACGCCTCATGAGAAAATCTCCCCGTTGGGGAATATTGTCGAACACCTGGCGTGTGTCAGAGGCCAGTCCAAAGAAAGGAAAATAGAACTAAACTAAAAAACTAAAACTAAAGCCCTAGATGTCTTTTGCTTTTGTACGTTGTCCCCTTTTAAAGCAACAAAAGAAAGATGACTAAAAGCTATCTAGGTGGTCCCCACACATGTGGACAAAGCCTCCAAAGTACTTCTTTCTCCAAGTCTCTCTACGTAGCTTCTTTTGAAGAGCCCAAATGACTAAATGCCTTTCACTAGCTTGTGGTCCCCACCAATTCAAGGGCCCAAGAATTGAAGCCCTTAGAAGTTTCCATATTTTCCATAAAATCCCTCCTTTTTGGTAGTTTTCTACTTCATTCCTGAAATTAACTCCAGATACCAAATATGAGTAAATATTAACAATTAAGCAATATTTGGCAAGGATAAAAAGGGAGATTAATAATAAAATAACCAATAATTAACACCCTATCAATTCCCCCCACACCTAAATCATGCTTGCCCTCAAGCATGGGAACAACAATTGAACACCAAAATTTGACCATGGCTGTTACTCCAACTACCGTATTGCCAAGACACCAAGAAAATCATATATCAAGCGACACAGGTCAAGATCCAAGAAAAATCACCCCGGTTAGCATCTAAACTATCAACTCCTCCAATTTAAAGCAAACTAATCTAAGAAAAAGGAATGGTTGCTCACATTTATCAGTAAATGGTCCAGCTATTAACCAAAATCTCGACATTAAGATCACAAACCGGCAAGCTGAATTATTCACATACTAACACAATCTTTATTTTATTTTTTTCCTTTTCGTTTTGTTTTTGTTTCTTTCCCTTTTTTTTTTCTTTTTGAATAACAAAAGACTTAGTCTATAACCCTTAGAACCTTTTGACGCGAACTCCAACATTTGATAGATGGAGAAGCCCGGTTACTCAGCTCCAATTGCTACGGGACCACGCACTCATAATAACTACTACCTTTTGACGCGAGAATCGACACTTTAGGTGAAGATCTCCGGTTACTCAGTAGTAACTACTAGCGGAGTACAGTCAATTCTTATTTATATCCATATAGCACGATATCTAAAAATAACACAAAAATAACAGCAGCCAGCCTCAAATTTCCACACATGGAGAACTAAAATTAATAATTGGACCAATTCACATGAAAAAAAAATGCCAACAATCATTCCCTATGCCTAGAAAAGTTAACCAAAAATTGAAAAAGTTAAGCAATTATTGATATTCACCAAAGAGATGTTCCTGAACCCAACCATATCAACTTGATACCCTTTTATTATATAAAACTTGGCAATAGCAGAATTAGAGACAACAATCCGGTATCAAAACTTGGTATTCATATGAAGACTGACCACTAGAAGAAAATAAGAAAAGAAAATAAACGAAAAAAAAGAAGCTAAAAATAAAGGAAAAGCCCTTAGAAACTAAAAATAAAAATACTAGCACCACAACGATCCCCCCCACACCTAATTCACACATTGCCCTCAATGTGATAAATAAATAGTAATAGCAAGGCGAAAGGCAACGGAACTTCCCTGAAAGTCGTCAAAATAGGGGCGGATCGGGCGGGAACTGAGGAGCAGGACCTGCATGGTGCATAGATGCTGCCAAATTCTGCGCCATGTGAGGTTCTAGGTGTCCTAGACCTAGAAGATGACCATGGCCTCACCATTGGTTCTAAAGATCACTCCACTTGACAAGAGACAACAATGGCCAACAAATAATGGAAACAGGAAATTCAAAGCAATAAGAATTGAAAAGCCAACCCAACGAATAAAATGCACAATTCAACAACCCAGAGGTCATACAAATGCCCCAACACTTATAGCAAATGCAATCAATAAGTACTTATGGACCCCATGTAGTCAAATTCAGAATTAAGGTCGTCCAAAGTGCAACAACTGCTCTAAATACCCCAAGTAAGTCAATTAAAGGCAACCGACTTCAACAAGCAAATGCAAACTGCACATTCATGCCCCAATTCAACAAAGAAACGCAGAAAAGTAGCCACAATACTAGAGCACAGCTCCCAATAATGCAACAGAACAGCAACTCGAACAAACTAGGAACTGTGCTAGTGTCTTAATAAATCAACAACTTTCAGCAATTAGACACAATCGGACCCAATATCGTAACAACTGTCTCCAATTGGACAGTCAATTACCCACCTCAACCTGCTAAAATTAGCAATTGACCCAAGAAAATGGCAACTCCAGCAACAACAGTTCAGAAGTTGGACAGAAACAACTCAACCACAAATGCCCAGTAGTCGATTAGGCAACCAATAACACAGGAGTAACAAATATTATGTAAACTACCCTCACCAGTACCACTGGTGCATGCATAAGGAAAAAAAGTAAATCAAATGGCCAACCCACTGCACCTGATAGATCCGAACACACCCAATAGCACCAAAAATGAGCAGAAATCAAAACGAGAAGCAATTGGCAACTAACTCCCAAATCAACCCCAAAGAATGCACCAATTGTACTTAACGGGACTATGGACAGTGCTAGTGTGCTAATAAATCAACAAATGTCTCCAATTTAGGAAACCAGCAAGTCAACTTAACAGCACCAATGAAGCACACAACGGCTATTGAAATGTCTCACGGAGCACATAAACCACAGAGCCGTC